TGTTCCATTTCGTTTTAAAAACCAATGTGAGATACCGTCCATGGAATGCGAACCAACCTCCTATCAAACTGTCGCCGTTTCCACCTTTCAACTGGTCGAGAAGCGATTGGAGTGCCCTTTAGGCTATTCACAATGGCTTTCTGCTATCCATGAAATTGATTACTACTTGGAACGGAGGTTATGATGGTGTTGGCTCCATCATAGCTTTACCTGGCGGATATTGCTAAAACTCCTTTCTATCAAATCGGATTCCTCGAGCTACACGGCCAAAAACATCCCTAAATTTCAGAATGGACCTAGCCGAAAGTTCGCACCAAGATTTACCGCCCATAATGCTGCTCTTTTGGTTTGAAGCGATCCACGAGCACGTCAGAGGTTCAGGCAGCAAATAATAGGGGACAATTTGAGAGGAGAATAAGAAACGCGCGATGTACCACCACACTACAGTCTAGATCACACTTGATGCTCCCTACAGCTCTTCCGAATCTCCCGACCAGTCATTTTCAAAATAATTCTAGTGGTATTCGCAATGTCTCAGACACTGCTAGTAGGCAGCTGGTCTGGCTACAAAAGATTGGGCATGGACATGGGAGCTGGGCACTGGTATGTATTCAGCCAGAGCCTTGCGCGTCTCTGTCTCTCATTTTCGGTGAGCAAGGATATACGCCACAGCTGAAACTCATCACGATCCACTCCGAAAGTCAGACAGCCATCGAACAGGGAGAGTAATGTTACTCGATTTAAGGTTGAGCGATTCAAAGCTTCTAAGCTTGCGCGACAGGACGCTGTCGACAATATAAGTGAGTGAGGCTCTAACAGAAGTGACATGATGACATAAGAAGTGCTCTCAAACGGCTGGCACGAACACGAGTATCAAGTCAGTGCATGGATCAGCGAAGACACCCCAGTTAGCGTTGGACAAGAATAGAAATGCTCCGTACGCAAGACAGCTTTTTGCTTGGGGCTCGGAAACGTGGCGCTCCGAAGCGCCTCTATGGAGCAATGCGGGATGAGTTTGGTCTAATTGGAAATCCTCCATACAGAGCCGCTCTATGTGATCGTTTGGCGAGCCAAGGTACAGCATGAGACAAGCTAATCACGACGAAAAGGGGGAGCAGAACCTAAGATGGCAAACGACCTGCAAATCACAATGTCTGCCGTGCTATCCAGCGGCGTGCCACCATAGCTACATTTGCCGTGCTACGATGATTGCGCTTGAATTTAGCAGCGTGCCCTAGGAGCCATGATACTACTGTCATCTCTATGCAGGCCTCCAGCATGATGGCCAGGCGGGCAAATACACTCCAGCAATCCAGTTGCCCCGTACTTTCCTCCATACTACCGAACAAATATAGACCTTGCCCAAAGGTGGAGAAAGATGGAGATCAAGGAGAACCCACAGCCAGTTCCTGGTCTACTCCATTTCCGTTGAGGGATTGAGGAACCATCAGTATCCATCTTGTAAGCATGTGACGAACTACAGGCACGGATAGCTACAGCAAAAAGAGCAGATCTCTTGCTATACGCGAACCAGGTCTCGGGAAGAGCGTTCGAACAGCGGCTGATGGCAGCGCTTCTCCCTCGGACAGCTGGGACAGGGGCTACGACCTGATTATCAGCCCTAGACACGCCGCCAGATGGCCACCAGGCGTAGTGTACGAAGTAGCGAGATACTACTACTAGTAGTGCTACCAGACTCCATGAGATGGCCCAGATGCGAATCGATCTCTACATCCTTGTTCGTTCCCGGCCATCGGCATGGGGGTAACGGAGTGCTGGAACGATAGACACGGCCTTGCTAGAGGCACGCCACGGCACCAGCACAGCAGTCTGCACAAGACAGAGTCCAGATTGATACCCACGGCCAAAAGAAACAATTGAATGGTGTGTGAGGGCTCTATGAAGTACTACTACTTTATTGATGAGGAGACGCGGATACAATCGAGTGGACGAATAAATGCTGCAGCTACTACCGCCTGTGTGTGACCTGTCAGGTATTCTCACAGGCTACTTGCTGGCTCTTATTCCCGCCAGTGGAAGCTGGTAGAAGCTGGGCACTAAGCAAGCAGACGGATTGCCTATGTTCCTAACCGGACTGTACATGCAGCAGAATGATGGCTGGAAAAGCAGGCTGGCGCCCATCGGATGTCACGTCACGTCACGTCACGTCTCGTCAGAGGAGCTCGGGGATGGCCGCCTAGGATCCCCGGCCGCAGTGCAAATAGAGTGCAGGGCCTGAATCATCCAGACAACCAAGGCAGCCCGGCTACTGACCAGCTGCAGTCTGCTATACATGGGGCTGTAGCTTAAAGCCCAGTGGCTGGATGACGCGGAAAGTTCATTACGAGCACGGAGCAGGAGGTACTACAAAGGCATTGGTATTGGAACCTCATTCGGCGTGGAAGCCGAACTGCAAATCACCAATGCTTGGGCCCATCAATACGGGGCGGACGGCGAAGATGGGTCTGGAGAAGCTGGAGAAGCTGGCACTTTTGAGGTTTTCCTCAGCAATACTCGGGGCAGCAAAAGACGCTCATCCTACATGTATGCTGCTCGATATTGGACAAGAGTGGCGAGCTACGCGGCATCGGAGCTGTTCCTTGGCCAAAGCTACTAGTACCTTGCAAATGTACCTATTCAGGTACTGCATGTAGGGAGGCATGTCACTCAAAGCTTTTCTGTTTCTTCCGTCCTTCTTTTTTGTTACACACCGCCACCACAGGGCAGCAGCTAGCACAAGTACACAGCGGCATGGCGTGCCAGCACATCGGCGCATGCAGCTTCGTTTAATGGTGACACTAGCGCGGAGAACTGGCCGTCCACGGGATCGTTGTTACACGAATCGAAAAGTAAAAAAAAGTAAAGGGGTGAGGACAAAAAGAAAAGAAGAAAACGGCTGAAGGCGGCCTGGTGGAAGACGGTAAGGAGTGGTGGTGTTGGTGTCTGTGCCGGTGATGGTGAAGGCGATGGGCGAAAGTCTCGGCCGAGAGGAAACGACCAAGTGCCAAGCAAAGGCTTCAAGGCCTTTGCCCTCTGGCATGGTCCACTGGGGAAATGCTCCCCAAACCGGCGAAATTGAATATCAGCATACCATGGATATAGCCCGCCACGCTTTGAGCACATACGAATTGGAAGAGCTCAGTACACATGCCCAGTCCGCTGCGCTCTTATTGCTCTGCTCGGTACCTGAATCTAGGTTGCGCGGCGGGCCGAAAAGGCACCTACCTTAGGTAGTTCTGCTCGAGCTTACCCATTATTACTGCGGTGCCTATAAACATCCGGTTAGCGGTGGTGGGGGAATATCTAGTTCTAAAACAAGGCTGGATCTTGATCACTGCTGGTTTAGCGAGGGGCTTGAAAGAAAAGGGAAATAGGAAGAAGCGTGAGGGGCCAGCAGCGTCATATCGGCTATCACTTACTGGATATGTCAATGGCGCGCGAAATTCGACTCGAGAAGGGAGAGGAAAGAATAAGAACAGGTACGGGAGAAAGAGGCAAGAAAAGATCAAGAGTCGGAGTCGGAGACGCATCAGCAGAAGTAGAATCAAGAAGCTGACGCCGTGCAAGGTGCTGCATCTCGCCAGCTTTTGGTGCACCCGAGCTGCGCCGCATGAAAAGCAGCACATCACAAAGGAATCTTGAGCTAGTCTGGGTGGCTCAATATTCACTTCAGCAGCACTATTTGGCCGTTACGAACAGCACTAGCACCAGCCGCTCTTGGTAGGAATGCGCGTCCATGTCCATATTAGAGTTCAAGTGTCGATAGCTCCACTAAGCGAAGCGGGAGCTTGGTATTAGCTTCCTCCTCTGGCTCGCCATCAACTTTCATCTTCGACTTTGCAACTCTCGCCTTTTCTTTCTTTTTTCCCATTATCCTCTCGACTTACTAGCCGCACTCCTCTGCGCTGCAATTCAGCTGAATCACCGATCCATCTTCTCCTCTCTGCACTATTCGTCTCTCTTGAAATTGTGCAGCGTCCCGTATCGCGGCCGCCCCCCATACTGTCTGTCGCGGAAACCGACCCCGGCATCGAGACCAGCGAGCTCCTTGCATTGGTAGTCCTGGCTGCGCCGCTCCATGGGGCTGCTTCGTGTTTCTTGATACCGCTCCCGGCGATATTGGGCACTGGGCATCTGAAGCTCAGGCGAGCAGACCACGCCGCCGTTGGTGACTCAAAACCAAGCCAGCCACCGGCCGCTTGGAACTTTGTTTTCCAGATCGAAACCACCTCGTCACAGTCTCTCGCACGGCGCTTGATCTTGATATAAGAGTGCCGGGTCCGCCACCACTGAGTTATTCAAAGCCTACCTTGCTGGAATATACCCAATCTACGCTTTCCGTATTTCTTCTGTACAACACGCTTCCATCAACATCACGGTCCCTCCAGCTCTCTATCCATCTGCTACTACAGCCTACCCATCTGCTGCTTTGGCCCTCTTCACCGGCAAGCGGCTGACTAAGGCTGCATCCACATCTTCTGTGCGTCGATCCACGCAACGGGAATCCGGGGCTTGCAACACTCGACCAACCACTGATTGCGCTCACAAGGCTGCATTTGGCCTTTGCTTCTGGCTCCTTGGCTCTATCTCAGCCTTTGCCCGCCGAGTTTGCCTGCCCTGCCGGCTTGTCTGCTCGCTTGCCTTTTTGGCTGCCTCTTTGGGTGCCTGGCTTCTTTCTCAGCCTGCGCCTTTTTGCTCTTCTCCGGCGCATACATCATCTGCGTCATCGTCATATCTGCTGTCCTCATCGGACTATCGCCACGCCTCTCTACCAGGCGCTCGCGCTCACTCAAATATCCCGCAAAAAGTGCTTGATATACTTGCGCACTTTGCACGCCTAGACAGTTCATACCTTGGTAGTCTCGATCGTCTTCTACGATAGGTACGTATCCTTCGCATGCGCACAAGAAAATAAGCATGTTTGGTCGCTGACTACTATACCCAGATCTTGAATTTTGGGAGCTTTGGAAATCGCCCCCGTCGTTTCAGTTGATATCAGCATGAGTGGTGACGAGAATCGTGACCGATTCGCCTGCTGGGGCGGATTCTGGCCTGGTATGGGCGCTGAAATGAGCACTAATGCAGGCGCCGGTACTTCAGCCCCGGCTGGGTACACGTATGGACTTCCGCCAGTAGTTCCAATGCCGGGTGCATCAAGGCCTAGTGCTACTTTTGGAGGAACAAGACCATCTGCTGCGTATGCTGATGATCACCGCCCGATCAAGCGAGAACATGGGTTCCCCCCTTCTCCTAGCCCTGAGTCTAACCGCACGACTTGTGGCATTTGCCCTGACGAGACAGGCTGTCAATGCCCTCGGTCAAATTGTCGCTGCCCTCCTTGCGTTCGAGGAGAACCAGACAGATGTATCGAGGCAGCCATGGCATCCCATCAAGCTGAAATCAGGGACGCTTTACACAGGGAGCACGCTTATATTCAGCAAAGCCTGCACAGAATAGAAACGCTTGTTACCGAGGGTCACCAGTTCCTACAGCGCCATGAACGCCACTTGTGGAAGCTTGAAAGAGACCACAAAGACTCTGAAATCCGAGATTTGAAGGCTCGTATTGAAGAACTGGATCATGAAAACCAACTACTCACCAGGCTTGGCTCTTTGCAAGGTCAACACAATCACCCACGACCAGCTATTCACCATCCCAGCCCACCAGTCTACGCGCCGCCACCAGTCGTTCCACCAGTCTTTCATCATCTCGGTCTTTCTGACACTTTACCCACGCTCAATAGCGGGGTTCCTCGATTCCTCGCCCAGCCAGCTGGCAGATCTTATAGTGAGGCTGGCAGATCCTATGGTGAGGCTGGCGGATCCTATGGTGAGGCTGGCAGATCCTATAGTGAGGCCGGCATCTACAATCTAGCTCCCAGCCCGTTTCCTGAATATACGCCAATGTCTCCTGAGATTAATTTCGACACCTTCGGCGTGCCGGGATTCGCACTAAACACCGCCCGCCCAAGCAGTCCGGAATATTCTCCTCCTTCTCCTACTTTGATGATGAACAGCTCTTTCTCAGACTCAAGGAGGAGCCCTAAGAGGCCAGCTTCTGCCGTCGATGATAGCGAAGCTCATTTGGACATCGACAGAGTTGTTCCCGGAACAAGTGTCGCTCAAGGCTTCATTTCTGCACCAGCTCCTCTGCGGGAAGCTTCGTCACCTCGCATCAAGAGGCAACGTAACATCTCCCACGAATATCTGCTGGTCAATTCACAACCAGACGAAGGAGAGTTGCAACGACTGACTATGCATGCTGGACATACTCCCAGTCGTTCGATATCTTCTCCGTCAGCCGCGGCCGTTGCCGCCACAACCACTACTACTGCTACTGCAGGACCTAGTGAAGACGGTATTACCCCGCCCGTTGCGTCTTTTCTCGGAATCAAGGTCGAGGCGGAGGTCAAGCCAGAGGTCAAGCCAGAGGTCAAGCCGGAGGTCAAACCAGAGATCAAGCCAGAGGTCAAGGGCGAGGTCAAGGACGAGGTCATGGACGAAGTCAAGCCGGAGGTCAAGCCAGAGGTCAAGCCAGAGGTCAAGGTAGAGGAGACTGGCACTGCAGAGATCGACTCCTTCTATGAGAACGTCATGCGGAACTCGCCACCGCTATCACGACGACAAAGGGTTATCATCTTCCCAGAGCTTACGGAAGGGTTTGAAACACGGATCAACGAAGCAATCAGACGTCACCTCCAACCCAATGTCGAGAGCTATTCCCCTCCCACAAACCCTGGCTCTTCCATCATCGACTCTCCTGCCTCACAGCGGGCTCTCCTTGACGCCATGGATGATAACCCTCTCGCCGGACCGCTGATGATTACGAATATCCCCGCGAAAGATGAACTTTTTCTAGAAGCCTTGAATGGAAAACTAGGGTCCATAAGCCAAGGCGAAGATGCCCTCCCCAAAGTTGTGCAGGATCTAAACCTGACTGCTCAATCGGACTCTGACGAGGAAGCCGATGGCGTTTTGATCACGAGGGAGCCCGAATCATTACTCAGGCAATCAGGGACAGGGCATGCTGGTGAGGATAGAGATGCTCCTGGGAAAATTGAGCGACCCATTCAAATCGAAGATTCAGACTCGGACAGCGAGCCAGGCCCTGAGATTACTCTCAAACTTCGACATACCAGCAACTTTGGGGCTCCCTTTGGAAGAATGTAAAGATATTCGTTCTCCAAGAGATGTCATTAGACTTTCAGCTCACTGGGCTGTCTGTGCCAAGGGATCTACATCTTTTTTAGGAAGAGATGTTTGCAGCCAACTTATCATACTAGTCTCTACTTGTTGGATCCAAACAGTGTCGGCGCCCTTGAACGCTTCCTTTTTGGATTATGATGGATTTCTTATTTTCTGATCTTCTTTTTCTTCGACGCGTTTTAAAGAATTTATCGCAAAGGGACAAAAGTACAACAACTAGAGTTGCGTGTTCATCTTCTTCGAGTCTTATTACCGCCTCCAAGATGGACGAAGATATAGCTTGAATTTGTGTACACTAGCTGTTGATTACTTGACGATGTTAGAACTGGGCTTGTATTAATTACAGTGTAAAAGTACGTGGGCTTGGAACAATTGGAAAAATCGTGTACTAGAAAAACATTGGATAGATAGAACATAATAATTACGAAGTTTTTTTGTTTACTCTTTGTTCTCTGGTTTGGTTTCCTCTGCTAATTACTATTGTTCAAGTCAGCTAGCATTGATTCCCCACGTCATGATTACTTGATTTGTACGCTTTCTATGCAAGAATAATCTGGCGGTGATTTATTATGCAGTCACATGTAATACCATCTACCTAGGTAGGCATCTATTCTGTATACATGAGCTACGTAGGTAGTAGTAGGTATCAAGTCCTAGATGGTCTCAGTTGGTTCATGCAGGGAAATAAATGATGGATACGACGTGGCGATGACCGTCAATGACGCATCTCTCCCGGTACAGATAACCTAACCATCCACGCACTTTTACATACATACATACATACACGTCTGTTCTGATTAGACGGGATCATTCATTTCATTCAGCAGCCCCCCGTCCGTCTTTTCCTGAGTTGGGCCCCATGTTTCGAAATAGCCTTACGCAGGGATGGAGAAGAATACGGAGGGGGGCGCCATCACCGCTTGTCTTGGCCTGAGCGTTGCCAAGCGGGATGGTGCGTGATGCAGGATAGAAAAGAAAAGAAAAGAAAAGAAACGCAACGCAACGCAACGCAATGCTGTTGTGGGCATCAGGTAATTTGCAACGTGATCTTTTTGTCGGGTGGGCTTTTTCCCCAGTTTAACTTCATTGCTTTTTGTTCAGCCGCAGCGAACTAGACCACTTACACGCACTTTTTTGGCATTTTTCTCTCTCACCTAACATAGTAGAAGAGACAGCTCTCGATCGGTCCACTTTGGGCCAGGAAAAGAAAAAAAGAATGGTTTAACTTGATCAGACCATCATATCGATGATGAAAAGAAAAGAAAAAAGAGAGAATCGTTTGGGTTGCAGGTGGTTGTGCTGCTAATGCAGGCTTTCGGGGGGGGTATGGGCTGGGCCGGGCCGGGAGAAGCAAAGAAAAGAAAAGAAAGCATCATGAAATGAGCCACGGCATGAAAAAACCAAAAAAAAAAAAAAAAAAAAAAAAAAAAAAATTAGGGAGCCTAGTAAAGAGGCACGGGAACTCTCAAAACAGCACGGAATAACTACTAGTAGTAGGGCTAGTAGCTGCAAGTCTTGGAGCAATATCCTGCTCTCTCCACATTTGGTTTGTGGTGTGTCTCTGACCAAACAGGATTTTACAGTGCTTCTTTCTCGCAGTTCGATCAACCTATGAGAGATGCAAGAAGCTCGTATTCAACTCCCGACTTAGACTCATGGCCGAAAGAGACAACAAGAAAGGGGGAAAAAAAGCAAAAAGAGAGAACAATACTAAGAGCAATACTAATGCTACTTTAAGGCATCTTTGCGCAACTCTTGCAAGGAATATGATTATACTACAGTAGTATATCCGAGCGAGTTATCGGGGCCCAACGCCCGGCCCTTGCATTAAACCCCCCCTTCCTTGTTTTCAGCTCGGCAGGGAATGGGTACCAACTCTCCGCCTTTTTTGTTGGGCCGTTTAACAAATAGTAGGGTGAAGGAAAAAAAGCCTTGTTTGGGCTAAAGGGCGTGCCTCGACGTCCGGCGTACTCTGTATGTAAGGGAGAGAAGGTCTGTTTTTTTTGGTGGTGGGCTTACGGATATGAGATACTGTAGCAGCTGGTCGGTTCCTGGCATCATCCGATTCGCAAAAGCTAGGTCTTGATATCGGCGTCGGCGGTTGGAAAGGCCGTGTTGATGATGATGACGATGATGCTCAGAATGTTGGTAATGAAACAAGAGAAGAAAAAAAGGAAAGAAACAAAGTCTCCGAGGCTGGTGAACTAACTGGCATCTGTTTGCTCATACTCGCAGAGCTTCTATGTCGAAAACTCAGCACTCTTTGACAGAGTCCCAACCTCTTTTCACTAGGCAGATTAGACACAATCGTAGATTCATCGTCCCTGTTATTAATTCTTATACCAATCGGTATGTCTTGACCGGGCGATTGGTTCGCACAGCTGAGGCCGAATGGAGCTTCCAAGACAAAAAAGACGCTTGGACATCAGACGATGAGAAAGGTCATTCATCCATGATGAGCGTGATGAGGGCCAGATAGCAACTGAGACACCAATCAGCATGGTGGGGTTCAAACAAGTGTGGGCATTGGATACTTGGTCAACTATGTTTTTTTCTTTTCTTTTTTTCGGACCCGTGAAATGCGTCATGTCCAGCTGCTGAGGGTTGGCTTGGAAATGCTGGGGTTGGAGCGTGCCGTGCATAGGACCCTAGTCTAGCTTCTCAGTAGGGAGAGTCCAACAGAGTGATGGCGTGGAGTAATACCAAAAGAAACAGAGATATCATTGTGATTAATCAAAAGGTACACTCAGCTCACATACAAGCCAAGTCACCACTCGCCTGGTAGACGAGAAAGTCAGAACTGGAAGAAAAAGAAAGCAAAGGAAAAAAAAATTAAAAGACACCTTTTGATTCTCCAAGTAATCCTTTATCCATATCATTACCTATGCGCTATGCAATCTACCATTACCCAGTTTGTCCAATAAATGCCCAATAAATATCCACCTAAAAATATAGTATACAAAATAGAAAAAAAGTGATGTAGGTACTCATCAGGAGAAGAGAGGGAGCAACCCCTTATGATCCCGTGAACTTTTGGTAAGTGCCCGTCGGAGAGGATTCAACGGCACTGGTGGCTGTTTCAAGCCGCTTCTCAGCCACTAGTAAATCTGATTCATGGGGTTGAGAAATGCTGAGGGACCCATCTATGAGATGGTTGGCCGTCGTGCTCATCTTCAAACTTGCGCTTCTGTGCATTTTGATTGACGTATGCGGCTTCTATGGCTGCGTGATCCAACATTGGTTGAGTCATGGCAGCTTGCTCCATGGCCTGCTGAATCTGAACCATAGCGGCAGGATTCATGATTGGTTGAACCACGTCTGCTTGCGTGATGGATGCTTCTGGTGCTGCTAATGTTGCCACCATGTTATCTTGTGTCATATTTTGCGCCATAGTCTCTTTTGCCATCGTCCCATGCTGAACACTCTCCCTGGCGTCTGAAGCGACCTTACGCGCCAGCGCTTGCCACACGGCTGTTTCTGATGCGGCTGCTTCTGCTGCCGCCGTTGCCGCCGCGTTTCCTGGCAGTATTAGCTCCAGTAGCCGGGCTCGAAGAGTAGCCAGCGGGTAGTAGGTGACTTTGGTGATTCGGATGTCGATATATGGGGTCTCTGGCGGTGCGACTTTGGGCTGTTCAAACATGTCAAGAAGCGTAGATGGGATATCGGCCTGATATAGGTACAGCCAGCCACAGTATGCTTCCTCACGCTTCTCTTTGCATGGACCCCTGGAATTATATGTATGAACAACTTGACACTAGAAGTGAAAGAAGAAGAAAAGACGTTAGCAATGGATAACACAAAGCGTTGTATAAGTCATGAACTGCAACATACATAGAGTTTGCCCGTCCTGGCTTCCTCAGGGGACCCAATCTCTTGCAAATATCTTCGCTTCTTCTGTGCCAGCCCAATGAGCAGAGCTGTAATGAATGGATCATGCAACGGATTTGGTGGCGTGATCTTCTTCCATTTCTTCTGATAGAGGCAGCACATGGGGCGGTTCCAGTAGCTCCATTTCTTGCACCGAGATAGACCCAGATAGTCTTTTCGCAGCTCAGTGATGCGGCCTTGGTCAACAAGAGCGGCAACGGGAAGTTTGTGCACTTTGTGTCCTATGATTGACTCTTTGAGGTAGAATGCCATGCAGTGGAGGTTCTTGACAACGGATGTGCCCAGCGAGAGTGTGAGAGGTTGTTCGCTATAAACACATAATCATCTTGGTTAGACATAACGATCATTCACATTTGAAATCTTGTGATGAGAAGGAGTGACAAACTAGATGACTAGGGGGCACGCATCAGTTGTGATGAGCAACCAAATGCCCTGCTCACGCATGACAGGCTTATAGTAGTAGTCGAAAAAGTCTTTCAGATGCCGGGTGCCAGAACGTTCCTCAGAGTATTCTGCTTCTGTAATGCCTGCACAAGGGGGAGCCGCTGGCTCGGGAAATGGCCCATGAAAGGAGAAATGCAGAAGCTCGGCATGGCGGCCGGTCCATCGGATTGGACTGACATAGAGCTCTTCTCTGCAGTGGCGGCGTGTGATTCCAAAGATGGATAGAGGAACCTCGGTATCGGAGTCTGAATTAGAAGGAGTAGGGGCAGTAGAAGGTGTCGAGTTGGTGTTTGTGTTGTTTGTGGAGGAAGAGGAGGAGGAAGAGGAGTTGGAGAGATTGATCGGTGTCATGGCCGCGTGCGTTGCTGCTGTATTGCAGCGTGGTCATGTGAAAATATGTTGCACAACAAAAACCATGGATTCGTTGCGTTGTCACTCCTTGCTCTGTAGAGGGAGCAATAGATAAAGAAAGTCAACAGGGAGATGATCAGAAGAGAAGACAACGAAAGGGAAGAAGAGGAGGAGGATGGAGTATAAGTTATAAGCGAAGGGGGAGCAGTAGCAGTTGAGCACCTTGGTACCTAGGTACCAGGACAATTGCAGACAGTACTTAGGATAATGGCATCAGATACCGCTACTCTAGGACCTGTTTGCACTCTAAGCACGTATCTTGGCAGGTACCACGAGCTAGCTTGTACATGGCTTGGATGGCATCAATGCCGTGCCCTGCTGCACCGGGGCACCAAGTGGTACTTGATACATGCCACCCAGATCCCCTACCTTAGGTACTTCTCATACAGCCATACTACTAGTACTAACATACAGGTGCATGCACACTCCAGTCCGTCCCGGTGATACGGCTACCCGCTGCCAGATTCTGTCAACTGTCAACTGCCATCCATCCACCCTTCCAACCCCATGGAGTTCAAACCGCCCCATGTAACCGAACCGCACTAAAAAAGGCCGCTGTCGTGTCCCACCAACGCTAGATTGTTGGCGCTAAGATCCAAGTCCCAGCCGCAGCTGCTGCTGCTCCCCGCCCGCCAGATCGCCGTACCGTAGACCTGGGGCTAGCTGCTAGTGCCGTGCTTGGTGCCTGAGACCCTGTAATTGTAACTGAGCGTGAGAGGGTGCCTGTCGCTCGCCTCTCTTTTCTTCTCATCTCTTCTCATATGGTCTTGCGTCTCGCCTCGTCTTCGCCTCCACGCCAAACTATTGTTTTCTTGCAGCTTGAAATAAAGAGTTTGCCAGCATCCGAGATTAACCAGACAGTTATTAATAGCACTACTAGTAGCATAATAGTAATACTACTAGTAGTACTGCTGTTGGACCGCCCCAAGATGAAGACGGGACACCTAGATGCGGGTGGGAGCATCACCCGTCAACCCCCAGGACCGATCTGGCCAGCCAGAGACAGTAGCCTGCATCGGACGGCCGATGAGAGTCCACAGTCTGTGATTCAGCTACTGCATGTTGCTGCTAGTGCCAGCATCCACTGATACACTGTATTGCTTCGGCACAAGGCAGTAGGTACTACTAGTAGTAGATAGTAGTGGGCGATATCAGTCTGAGTGCACACTTGACTTATACGTGTCTCACATGACCGGTGCTGCATGTAGGCAAGCATTCGTCTGAACACAGCATACGGCATGAGGAATTGCATAAATCGGTAGATGCTTCTGGGTGGCACTGTAATGGCAGCAGAAACATACTAGTATCTCCCACTCTCCAGCCAATACAATCCATTATAGCTATCAATATGTCAAAAGGCCAATTAAACCTTTGATCAAAGACATCGTGAAATTCTATTTCTGCTTTGCTACCCCACCAAAAAAAAAGATACCATAAAAATAAGAAAAAATAAGATGGAACTGATGATAATTACTGTACATGCCACCACTCATCCGGGTGGAATAACACCCCCTTCCCATAAACGCCTGTCGCAAGACGCACGCATAGAGAATAAAGAAACAGCTTGAGCTTCAAGTTATAAGAATGATGAGCGAGTAGAATACAAGCTTGAGTTAGAGTATGGATCAGAGCTGTTTGTTTGTTTTATGCAGTGTCCCTTTCCATACTTAGACACCCATGGTGAAATCGTGCTCGATTCCAGGTGTGACGCTGGCCATGAACTATTCCAGTTCCACAAGTCAGTCGTCAATCATGTAGAAAGAAAGAAGGAGGATGGTAAAGAGAAAAAAATTTGAAACTCACCTTTAAGAATACGACCAGGTACTGGTCCACTCGAATAGCCACCTCTTGGTCGTCCACCTCATTCTCTTGCACCTCTTCCCACTCGTCCTTGTCGGCAGCATCTTGAGCGCCCTTGACGTCCAGGTTACCCAGCTCGCTCGTCAGGCCCTCCACGTCCTTGCCATCCACAGACTGCTTCTTGCTCGCACGCAACTTCTCTCTGCGGAGACGCAACGCGGCATCAGCACGATCCAGCAGCGACTTCATCACGGGAGCGTGCTTGCAAGGGTGCACGCTAGCCATCCTGACGTGGTTGGCAAAGAAGGGAAACTCCTCGAGCGTCACCGTCTTATCCTTGTAGTCGCCGACAATATCCTCCATCATCTTCATGGGTGGCAGAGGGTGGCCATTGCCCTGGTAGCCAGAAAGGTAGAGTCGTGGCGTTCGGTAGTAAGGTGTATACATAATGTAGAGGTTGTAAGTGCGGCGGGCGCTGTTCACAGACTTGTTAGCAAAAGAAAGCGTACAGCATAGCATAATTAGGAAAACTAGCGGAAATGGGAGAATGTGTGTAAGATCACAAGACTCACGTGTTGCCAGGTTCGATACGAAGAACAGCATCGTCTTCCTCCTCATCTTCCATATCAGGAATATCGTCGTCCAGCCCATATAGATCGTCGTCGCCAACGTTGCCCGCATCATCTACTGTCTTAACCTCTCGCGCCTTGAGCGGCTGCGAGCTAGCCAGCCCTCCCGTCCGAAGCCAACCATCGTCGTCAACATCGCCCTTGCTCTTAAAGTCGTCACCGTCGTTAACGACGGACTCTTCGTGCCCAGCATCGCCGGCAAAGTCGTCGTTTAGCCGGCGGTGGCACGGTACGTTTCGGGTGACGAGGAACTGTTTCCCGGCAGGCAGATAGCTGACGCGCAAGGCCTCGGAGTCGGCATCGCTCCAAGACCAGGTCGGAAACCTGTAGACGAGGTAGTCGCCCGCTGCTACAAACTCTTCGGGAGTGATCTGGCCCGTGTTGCGAAAGGTCGATGTATGCGTCACCGGCGTGTAGCGGTCACGCAGAGTGTTGACCGTGGAGTAGAGGTAATTCATTGTTGCTTGTAGCCTATCTTTGGCGGATTTCGAGCTTGCTGCGGACTAGTGTCGTGGGAGAATCACAGACGAATGGGATGAAGGGTGTATTCTCTTTGAAGCTATCGGTCGATATCCGCGGTTGCAAAGGAGAAACAAAGTCTATGAAGCTTTGACGTGAAGATGATGATGATGACGAAAGCAGAAGCAGAAGGGCGTAGACGAAAGAAGCGTTGAGTCAGGTCGCCAGGCAGATAGTCAGCAGCAGTGCATGTGACTGGAGCTAAAGGTCAAAGTATAAAGGTGAAAGAGAACAGCCGTCCGAGGTCTTGGGTCTGCTGGATCGTGTCTAGTGACGGTGAGGATGAGGATGAGTGACAGCCAGGCGGAGGGGCGATGCGATCACATGGCGGGGCTGCAAGCTGGATCCGGCTTGGTTTGCCTCCCGCGGCTTATCTTATCAGTGACAGCATCGGCCTACTGTAATGCAGGTAGGTAGTGGCGTCAAAGGCGCCACTGCAGCCTAAGCATTGTGGTTTGGTAAGAGGCTGAGCTTAAATCATCACCAGGTTATACCTTTGATGATTCGTTGGAATTGGTATCTCACTAGGACAAAGATTGCATCTTTGGAAATTAGATATTATTAAGCTAACATATAGCTGCAGCGTAGTTCTTGCATCGATGAAGCTACTGCTGGCCAGAGTGTATCACGAGTACCGTTCATGCCTTCATTAAATCCACTTCAAATGCTCATATGTCAATCCTCCTCCTCTTGTTCATTCTTCCCCTTCCTCGTCACTTACTTCTTCGCCCCTCTCAATTGCTTCCTGTCTTTTCCTCGCTATCCTCTGACGCTTCTTTTCAAGCAGCTTCTTTAACCTTGTTGCTGAATTAAACACACCATTGGTCCCTGCTCCGCATACCGCACAAGATGGATCCTTCTTGTATCTCTGTAGAGCACACGGCAGGCAGAAATAGTGTCCACAGCGCGTGACTATAGGCTCCTTGTAAGATTCCTCGCATATAGGGCAGGCCCACGGAATAGTCTCCAAAAGTGCCCAGTCTTCGTCGTCGTCTTCTTCTTCTTTTGCTTGGTCCCGGTTCGCACTAGCAACCACCGTTCCTCCGAGATTTTTTTTGCCTTTGGTCACTTTTTCCCATTCTAAATCCAGCTGCCAGCCCTGTTTCATATCGGATCGATCGTGAAGGTAAATGCACCCGTCCCCGAAGCCGCACGAGCCAGTCTTTCGATAGTCTTTACAAATGCCAAGATTATACTCTACTGCCGTAACTGTGCGAATGTTCGTGGGTGCCTTGATAGGGCCGACCGTCTTCCGGGGAGCGTCTGGGTTTTTCTGTATAAAAGTCGCCTGGTTTGCCAGTCCCTTGTACGTGCCGTCGGGCTGACCATCTTTAGGCACTCTGGCCGCCGATCCGAGAAGATTCTTGGTTGACAGGGCATCCTTTGCATTCTCGTCATACCAGTTACTGTGTTTCGTCGCGTCGTTGGAGTCGGCGATAGGCACGCTCCTGTCGGCCGTGTAGATGACGGCAGATGTGTCTTTGTTGGTAGATGCAGCTCCCCTTGCTGTAGCTGTGACAACGGCTGTCTTCTTCCGCCTCTTTACCCGCTGTCCAGATTCATCTTCTGAGGATGAATAGTCGCTGTCGCTATCGCTCGCGGCTGGGGGAGGTGTGGCTGGTCTCTTGCGGATATTCGCTTTGCCCTTTGCGCCTCGCTTCTTGAAGATGGCAACGGGCGCGCTGTCAGCTTCGGTGTCTGCCATTGCTCTTGATCGTTGTGCAGTTGAATTGAATGAATCTTGGTTGAATAACTGCGAGTAAATGTTTGATCGAAGTTGAGTCTATGGGAACATAGAAAATATAACTGGGGCAATTTGTCAACTGTGGCGCTTACCAATTCGGCAGTGCTTGTGGCAAAAACCTTATTCGTACAGTGCAAATACAGGGTAGCGACGAAATGTCAAAGCATCGCTTCGTTTCCTTATCAATCTACAGAATTAAAAATGAGACTCTAGATAATAATGAGATTAGCTTCAAACTTGGCTTGTAATTTATTTCCGAGAAAAAAAGTACACCCAAAGTTGTGTGGAAGCTATAAGCATATCCCATAACAAGACACGCATCTAACAGAAGACAGATACGTACACTCCATACATACACACACACACAGTTAGGAGGGTTGGAATAGGGAGGAAAGTATATCCAAGATGGGGAAACATAGCGCTAATAAACAACGCCAAGTTAGAGACTACCAGTGGTCTACTTGGAACATAGAAGGTACAAGTAGCTCCAGATGCTACAAAGAGAGAGAAATAAAGTCTACCCGTTTCAAACAGCCTACTACTCCTTGGCGTTGTGTTAGTGCATTCACTGCGAAGGACTTCGCAAAGCGAGAAACAGGTGGCGGTACAATGCCGTTTTGTATATCACGTCCTACACTACGTACATCTATATCCTGCTCGCAAACACCCATTATGTTAATCCTCCAGTATTCAAGCTTGCCTAATGTCCACCCATATTCCTCCAATTTTGCGAGCCGCCGGTGCCAATGGTGGTGAATTCCCCGCTACATCCAATAGCAATTCACCTGATGCCGCATTTTTTTAGACGGTTCCAACGGGCTTCTCGCAAAGAAGGTTTTGGCCGGCCTGTATACACACACGATTCAATTAGTACATGCATTCTCTCCATATAGGAATTCAAATTCATATTAATGCACTTACAACGGGGACAGCGCAGCAAACAGCCTGCCTGCCGCCTTCAGCAGCGCAGACGGCTTGGAAACTGGCACCAGTCAAAACGTTGGCTCTCGCTATTTGAAGTCAGTATGAATAAATATACGTATGGAACAGCTCGTATCTTACGAGTATGGCAGTCGAGAGCGGCGACGCCAAGGATGTTGACACCACAACACTGAGGGTTGGAGTAAACGCCAGTGGGGCAGACAGAGGCGAGAGCGCCGGTAGCGAAGAGGGCAACGATGGAGAACTGCATTTTGAAGATGATTGGAACTGTTGGGTTTACAACAAGTTGTTGGTGAATGTAGAAGAGGGTGGTGATGATTGCTGTAGAGGAAGCTGATGAGGATGAGAAAAGCAGAATTGACGCCGGGAGAGATGGTCGGCTTTATACATTTTCTCACCACTCTTGTTTCTACCGAATGCCCCCTCTGCCTCTCTCATCTATTTCGATTTCCATCGTTGTCTTGGCCGTGCTAGGCCGACAATATGCAGGGAGAGAGAGAAAGAGTCCATCACAATCTTGCTCATGCTGCACAATGAAAGGGATAGGTAGGGAGACTGAATCCAGTACTACTAGTACTACTAGTACCTAGTTGTCTTACATCTTAGTCAAAGATACTGAGAGCTTGGTGTTGCTACGAACATTTTATAATATTCTTAAAATAAAGAAGGCCAATTAGACAAAGAGCTCCGCATCGTGGCCATGAGGGATTGTAGCAAAACGAATGTGCTTTTCATTATCATGGCCACGGGTATAGAGATGATATCGTCATTCATTCGCTTTTTTAACTAGATTGTTGTTTCTTATTGTTATCACTGACAGATAATAAGGAGTGTAAGAATGTCTGATGCCCAGAATCCGGTTTCTCAAAATTGTAGCTAGTATTGTGCCTAAAATACCTCTGTCTCTGATTCCAGCCGCTTTTGCTCCTGAGCGCCCCCTTGATATGCGAGCTGATTTGGCAGAAGCCTAGGCTTGGTGGGGACTTTGTAAACCGTCCATCTCCCTTAGGCTAAACTCGACGGTTCTCGCATCCACGGCGTAACGGTGAGCAGTGGTGGTGGCTCCTTGTTTGAAGCAAGGCAAATACTCCTGAGACATGCGTGTAGACGGCTCAATTAGTAAGCAAGGAGATGGAGGCGGATAGTTATTACTGCATGATAATATCACGCAGCTATTCATCGAAGTAGGTCAGCACAGTAACTGGCTATAAGTTACTTTTCGTGAAAGGTCTGTCCGAATCTCGACTTCTATAGCATCAATTGGCCATTCGATATCCACGTCGATAAAGAATACCTAGCGCAGAGATTTTCGACTCGATGAAAAGCCAAAAAGGTTGGGTAGGGCCTGGCTATCTGGCATAGAGCAGCCGACGAGCCGATCATGATCGGCCTCACGCGTTCCTTGGCCACGTAGTACCCTGCTAGTAATTGGAATAAGGGAGCACTTGCATGCGTCTACGACTTATAGGGAATAGATTGCCTCTAGGGAGCAGTAGCGGTAGGACTGGAGTTGCGTATTTACTGTGGCGATACTCTCTCTCTTCAAGTCTCCGAAGCGGCGAACCGTAGAGGCTAGACGAAAGTGGCATAGATGGGAGCCATGTCATATCGTGACCGACTTCCGGTGGCTGTCAAAAATGATAGTCTCATTTCTTACAATCAATCTAAGATTAGATGCTCCGCTGTCAAAGCTGCATACACTATTATTCACGAGTATTTCCTACCCTATTTCGCCAGTATGTGTGAAGCCACCTCTAGTAGGTAAGCCTTGTTGGACACCGTACTGCATTTAGGCGTCATTAGATCACAGCTGGCAGTTGTGTATAGATATGTACCCGAATGATGTGCTATACACATTCATTGTGTCAACTACAATGCAGCAAATGTATTGGAGCCAGTGATACAAACCATCAGCAGCGGCACGTCTCAATTGGTATGGGCAATGTCGTAAAGTATAGGATACTACTACGCCGTATTCGAATCGCTAAGCGCCATCTAAGAATGTCTCATATATATACGAGGTCAGTTGGAAGCGTGTATATTTGTGCGCACGAACACCCAGCCCAACACATGGCGCTTTTAGGTGTGGCTGGTTGGCAGTCGTTCTGAACAAGGATATGGGCCTGCCCTCGAGAACTTGAGCTACCCAGCTCAAGTAAACCTTACTGTACTGTAGCAATTTGGCGGTGTATAGCAGTTTGCAGCACGGCATGTGATCCGTGAGTGGGCTAATGCAGGGGAACGGCGCATGGTCCGCGTTGCTGGGGGGCTGTTGTTGGTGGTAATTGAAGTCGACTAGGCCAGCATCTTTGGCCCAAGAGATGGTGATGATGGCGATTGCGATGGCGATGGTATCGATGGTATCGATGGTGTTGATGATTGATGGATCGACTGGTCAAGTCGATGACTGCATCTCGAACAAAGTCCGACTTTTCTAGAAATTCTAGGGAACACGGAACAGAGACGCTAGTAGGGGATGCTCCGTTAATATGAAGCTTGCCAGGCGTCATTTTGCAACTTGGGAGCTCTATTTGGCGCCTGATAATCTGCCTGACACGCCGGGGTGCTTGCTATGAAGCCACCTAGTCAGGACTAGCAGCGGTGAGTGAACAGACGATTCGCCAGAAAAACTGGCCAAGCGAAAAATAAAGCAATGGTCAGGTACCGGCCCAATTTGGTGGCGGGGAAGAGGCTTTTTGCTGGGTGCTGCTAAGATGAGGCACTAGAGCCAGAACGATTGGCTGCCGGGAAAGTGGGCGTTCATTTCTCTGGGCTTTGAGAAGAGACAGATGGCATTCTGTAACGTATATTGAGAGAAATGCGAATCAATGATGGTGGTCATGGTGATAATGGAGTTCTTGAGTCTTGGCGATGTTAATGAGAAGCAGGCAAAAGCGCAGCCAGACCCGGAAGCAGACATATTCCGGGGTATGGAGAAGCCGTCTTTAATTGCTTGCATGCACATCAGAATTTCACGCTTCTAAATGGCACCACTCGATGTACGCATGTACGTGCATGTCACTACTATTCCCTGCTATCGCATCGTATCGTATCTCATCTACGAATCAATACGAAATACGATAATGCGAGCGATGTAGGCTTTGTTTGCGCTGGTGAGGCAGGTATTTAACCTTCTACTCCATACTCACCTCAGGCATAGACGGGCAAAACCTTGAATTGCTAACCTTGTATTATATGCAGTGCGGCAGGATACCACTACATTCATTAGTTCGAAGCATATTTCGCAATTCATCCTCCATCTGGAGCAGAGGGTGGTGATGGGGGCCAGAAATTGGAGGAGATGCAGACGCTGAAACATGCACTGGGCTCCATTTGGGGCAGCCGTCCCGACCAGAGTGCTGCCTCCATGACACCCAAAAATGGTTTCCCCATCCCATGTGTTCAGCTCTGTGCGTATTGCAGGTACTGGCTACTCCCGTATCGCGACGAGGTACTCCGTACCGCTGGTGGTGTCGCATGAATTACTGATGCTATTTATTGCTCAGCGGCATGGCCTAGAGGAAATCGGCAAATCTCGCATCAGGTGGGATCTGGAAATGAGGCCGCATTATGGATCCAGTGAGCATTGGCGACTTATGCAAGTCATGATCATGCATGTTATGCGCTGCTGTCAAATGCTGGACCAAACAAGCAAACAAAGAATGAAACAAGGCACACAAACAATTCTTACCCGTGGAGTGGTTTTGACGGATGGGTGGATGGAGATGCTATGTCAGCTGCGTGCTTGTGCCTCTTGGACTTCTGGTTGTAGCAGCGACATGCGGGGATCACATCACGGCACACATCCAGACAGGTACTATTACACCACAGGCTGCTCGTCGCCAATTGCACATGTTGCGATGCCTCAGGTAACTAGCCAACGATTACAGCAGCTCCATCTACTTAACATGTGCCCATTGCCACGCGATCTATCCATCTAGCCACATCGCGGCTACTGTTATTGCTGCCAGCAGTAACTCTCGTCACTCAACACCAAGGCTCCAGCTCCCAATTATTATTCTCGGTCCCCTGGTCAGGTGCTCCACCAAAAAGGCGCAAGGCCCCCTATGCCTCTGCTTAGCCTGGTCCTAGCTGTACGGAGACGCAGCAGCGCAGTATTCTTGCTTCTCGCTCCTCGGCTTGCTGCAGCATCCTCTCTTCTTCTTCCTTACACCTTTCTTCTTTTCTTCTTCTCACCAACCTCATCACAAATTTCGGGTCCCGGCAAGTCTATGTGCTCCTCGCGGCTGGATCTCCGATTTTTTTTTATAATTGTGTTTTTTCTTTCTTTGCCCGTCCCCCTCCGACTCGATTCACTCGTTACACAAACAACCTACCGCTAGAATAATAATACAACGCCTCGTGTATTTTGGGCACTCGCAGCTCTGCCTACGCGTCCGATCGACCCTATCCGCTCCTTTTTTTTTTGCAATCAACATTGGGAAAAATAAACCTCAAAAAACCACCAAAAAAAAGACAAAAGTTCCGTCGTCGACAGAGCCAATCTATCGCCGACTTGAATTGTATTGCGACTTGTTAGTTTCTTGCCTTTTTCTCTCGACCTGCCATCGACATACAACAATTGCGACTTTTCGCGCATTGCCTGCAACATAGCCCGACTCTCGAGAAACAACTCCCGAGTCGCCGTACAGTGCGCGCGCCGATCCGCAGCAAAAGAGACTCGCGCGTCAGCTCCATTCCACTGCATTCCGTCTGGCAGAGCCGTGCCTAGCGCTCGATTCGACTGGATCCGGCCCTGAAATCTGGCTTGCCCACACGGCTCGAGCCACGTCTGCCGTCCGCCGGCGCTGAAAGAACAACAAATCACCGCCTAAAACAACAACAAATACTGCGTCTTTGATTTGCGAGCCTGTTTGCTGGTTTTCTTTTTCCTCTTCGCCTTGCTGGCTGCCTGTCCTCGGCGCTGCTTACGTTTGCCTGTACCTGTTTGCTTGGCCTCCACCTCGCAACAACAAACAACAGCGGCCCGCAGCCTCAGCGCTTCTAATCTTATCTTGCCTTGTGCCTTTTTCGCATTTCCATTTCCATTGCCTGGATCCCGGTTTCTTTTCTCTTTCTCATTATTCTATATTTCTGCACCGCTTGGCTTTCCAAATATCTCGCCAATTTCGCCTACCTTTGCGCTTCCTTTTTTTATCCGCCCCGTGCGCGCGCAATCCACAGCGTCATTTCGGAGAGCCAAACTCTCTTTTCTCTTCTCCAATCATCCGCTCTTGTGCTTACCTCGAG